GGACTTCAGCAGCAGAGTCCAGGGAAGGGATAGGGACGGTTTTATGGCCTGCAGCATGCAGGGGGTCAGACCAGATGATCATAATGGTCCCTTCTGACCTTAAAGTCTATGAGTCTATGAGTCTATCTCTATTGTTAACGAGGGTGAGCGCCATATCCCACGGGAGAAGCAGTGTTAGAACAGTATAGGGAAGAGGAGCCCGGGCTGCTGGCTTATATTTCCAACTCTACACCACCAGGGATGGGTTCTTCTGGGGGCTGGAGAGGCTCCAGGCATAACTTAGCTTTGGTGGCCTGTCTAAGTCACAGCATCCTCCCTGAGCTGCCCCCTGGACCACCGCACTGGCTGGAATCTCCATAGGGCTGCATGATGCTGCCCTATATCTAGCGTGTCCACTGTGATGGGCCTGTGACAGGGTCCTCTGAAGATAGCCCTACAGCTGTCCTCCATCCTGCCTTCACTGGGGAAATCGTCCTCAGCGGCAACTGGGGCTTGTCGGGCCCTTTTATCCTCCCTGTAGGGGTTGGGCTCCCGCCCCAAGTATCGTTGGGCAAGTCATTTACCCCCCCCCCCCCGTGCCTCAGTTTCTCCATTGGTAACACTGATTTATTACATTTGATTAAAAGCGCCTATCTAAAACTGTACATATTAAAGGGGATATTAAAAATGGAGGACAATCTGTACCGCATGGAGGGCTATGAGGCTCCATTAACCAATGCTTGTTAAAGAATTTGAGCTCCCTAGAGGGAAGGCATTCTAGAAATGGGAGGGATAAGTCTAAAAATGATGACGGGCTATGGGGCCCAGCTATGCTCCTCTGAATGGAATTCTTTTGTAGATCATTGAGAAGCGGCGCCGTGACCGTATTAACAGCAGCCTGTCTGAACTGAGGCGTTTAGTCCCTACTGCCTTTGAGAAGCAGGTACGTGCAGAATGTTAGACGTGACCGTTTTCCCCCCCAGAGGCTTATCGTTTTAAGAAAGGCAATGGTGTCCCGAGCCTCTGTTTGCCAGAAGCTGGGAATGAGCAATGGGGATGGATCACTTGATGATTCCCTGTTCTGTTCATTCCCTCTGGGGCACCTGGCACTGGCCACTGTCGGTAGACAGGATACTGGGCTAGCTGGACCTTTGGTCTGGCCCAGTAGGGCTGTTCTTATGTTCTTATGTTAAAGGAAAGACCTGCTGGTGCTTATGAACAAACATACATAGAGGGGTCATATCAGCAGAGTAAATTATCTTCAGGCAGCCCAAAGCAGGGTTGTGGTTCAATGGTTGGGAGGTCTCTTGCTTTTACAGCCATTCCACATTAGGCGTTAATTTAATTAGCTCTCATTAGCTGAGCAGGGTTTGGATAGTGGTCAGTGCTTGGATGAAGAGCACCAGCTGGTGTTGTAGAAAGAGATGCTGGTGATGGAGTAGGTAGCATTCTTCTCTCTGCGTCGTCAATGCTGCCCTAATGCTTAAGCAGTTGCTGTCTTAGGATGAATCTAAAACCAAGGTCCTGCCCATTCACTGTGAAAAGATCTCCTGAAATCCAAGTCACGTGTCCGGCATATGTGATTGTTGCTTCTTTTTGTCCCCTGTTAACATCTGTTTGTCTAAAGGCCCCAAACCTCTCAGGGTACTTTTCCCAGTTGGGGTGTTAAACCCAAGAGTCATGCTCAAATTGTAACTTGGGTAATGCTATTCTGTTTTCCTAAATTCCTTCTGCAACTACATTTGGAGATATTATTCTTCATTGGCCAAGTTTAAAGGGTAACGCAATGTCAATGGCGCACAATGACTGCTGCATTCCACCCCAGAGGTGGCTGCGTTTCACTTGATGGGTAATTGTTAAATACAGTCTGTAGATCCTTTTAGGATTCTTCAAGATTGAAAACCCTATAAACACTCTAAATTATTATCACCCCAGAGGATAAGTGGGTGGTAATAAATCTTCCAGGAAATCTTGTGGAGGATAAAAGACATTTTGCAGCAGCAGGGATGAATGGAAATAGAGATTTTCAGTTTGCTTCACAGTCTCTTTTGAGGGGAGATCCATTTTCCTTATCACTTGATTCGAGATGAGTCTGAATCCAAACCCTGAATCTGTTATTTCTGCCCATTTCTGGAAAGTTCAGGCCCTCTTGAAGCTGGCTCCCTCAATGAGATGGAATCCTAGATTTTAAAATGGTGGATTGATAGTCTCTCTTTCTCTGCCCCTCCCTGCTTTCAATACACAGGGCTCCTCCAAGCTGGAGAAGGCAGAGATCCTGCAAATGACAGTGGACCATTTAAAAATGCTTCATGCCACTGGAGGAACAGGTGAGAACTGCTTCTGTAAACGTGTGTTTTGAGGGTGAGATCCTGGCTGTATTGAAAGCAACGGCAAAATTCCCACTGACCCCCCTGGGGGACCGGATTTCTTCTGAGGGGAGGAAAATTCATCCTTGAATCCGAGGGCAGCGTCCCGCTGTTATTGTCCGTTGTTTACTCCAGAAATCGTTAATGCTAAGGATATAGAAAATATTGGTGTTTGCTTTTGAAAGGAAGCGGCTCTCCCAGGGGAGGCTTTCCACTTCCTGTGCTACTATTTGTGATCCTGCAGATGGGTCAGAATCTCACATTTAGGCCTTGGCAGACTGAGGTATGCCATATGGTGTGTTCTGTGTAACCACAGAAAAGGCAGCCAACTCCCAGAACAGCGACAGCCCCGGGCAAGGCTACACACTTAGTCATGCTCGCAAATGGACCTGACTTCCAAACCAAAGTCTGCCTCCTCCGCATCCCATCGGGATGTTTCCTGGCATTGCCTGGAGTCTGGTTAGTGACTCTGCATAAAAACATGACTTTTCCCCTCTCCCATCTCAGAGTTTGTAAAACACAAGGGGATACACATCCTCCGCAAGAGCAAAGTTCCCATTCTCCGCTTGCCCAGGACTCTGGCGGGGACCTCAGTTTCAACACAGTAATCCTCTGACTCGGTTAAAACACAGTTCTGTCTCGCTGGGTAGATGGGACCAGACTGTGGACTTTAGCACAGTTACATCATGGTCTAGGAACATTGTTTAAATACTCAGCATGACTACGCTACCAGGCTGAAACATGTTGTCAACAGGGTCCCCAAAATGTGAAGTGATACAGTACTTTGTCCACGCTGGTTGCGTTCTCTGGTTTATTGCCCATTCTCTCGGGAAGTCCAAGAAGGAAAGAGACCGAAGGAACAATTGATAGTTTTATTGTACTTCACTGATCATCTCCACAATCCAAGGCTTTGGGCCCTGTAGAGCCAATAGTCTTGGGTCTGAGACTGTCTCATATCCTTCAATTGGACATCGGTTTAAATAAAATATGAGTAACAGAGTCAAACAGTTGTCTCTAAACGCAGGGAGGGGCTATTAAGCTGTCCATTGAGAAGCAGAAACCACACAACCTGCTGTTCTAGGAATGGCCATCCCAGAAGAGAGCCAGCTAGTCCAGAATATTGCCTCCAGTAGCAGCCAGTGACAGAATCCAAAGGAAATTCCTTCCTGATCCCAGCTGGTGACCAGTTTATGCCCTGAACCAAGAACATTGATGGCCCTGATCATTTTATCCTAGCTAGAGTAACTGCAGATGCTAGTCTTATTCATGTAAACATCACATTCTTTTTTCAAGCTTACTTGGCTATTTGCTTCAAGAATATCACGGGGCGGCAAATTCCTCAGGTTAAATACCCAATTACATTAAAATGGGTAGTGCTATCAGATGCCTGTGCTCTTGGTGGACATGATGCTATATATGTCTTTTTCTCACAGGGTTCTTAGATGCCCGATCCTTGGCTGTGGATTACAGGAGTATCGGCTTCCGTGAATGCCTCACTGAAGTTGTCAGATACCTTGGTATCCTCGAGGGACAAAACGGTGCTGATCCTATCCGGCTACGACTCCTCTCCCACCTGAATAATTATGTTGCCGAAATGGAGCCTTCGCCCATGGCCGCTTCCCTTCTGCCCTTTCAGATGTGGCCCTGGTCATTCCTCCACAATTCCACAGCCCCCGCCAACCAAGTACTAATACCCAGGAGGGAGGCTGTCCCGGGTCTAGCTGTCTTGACTGCTTCCCCCCTGGCTTATCCAAGCACCACCATGAGAAGAGCTCCCGTTCGCCGAATTCCTAGTGCCATCATGCCAGCCCGCCGAAACTTCCTTTCCAATCGGATGGCCTCTTCGTCCCGGAGGGCTAAACCCACAGTGACATCACCAACCCCAGGTGCCATGTCCAGTGTGCCATCACCGAGGGGTGCCCTGAGAGACGCCACCTCTAGAAGCAGCCAGATTGCAACTTTCCTGCTCTCCTCCGCCTCTGCTGGAGTTCCCGTACCACCTGCTTCTTACACAGCCCCTCCTGCTTTGAATGCTTCTCCTCAGGGGCCAGGCACCAGAGGTGGGACTTCCAGACTCTGCCGCTCCTGGGCTACTGAAATTGGGGCTTTCTGATCCCTCCCTGACGAAATCCTAAGGGAGACAAAAATCATCAGCAGCCACTGCTCAAAAAGCACGCTCCGGTGAACAGCTTCTTTCCTGCTTTGCAGAAATAAAGGATCGATAAAGGATCCTCTCCTCACCTTGCCATCCCTTCTTATTCCTCACGTCCTCTTCCCTCCCTCCCCATCACACTGTCTCCCTCTTTTCCATGTCAGGTTTGCAGATTTTGTTTTGAATTGAATGTATTTGTCTGTCTACAGCTCCACTAAAGGTTGTGGATGAGGTTTATCCTAATTCAGACCTTTCCCTTCCACGACTCAGGTCCTGGTAGAGCTGAATGTTGCAGTTTGGAGAATGTAAACCAGCCTTTGACTTTGCTGGAGACACAGAGCTCCCAAGCAGTGACACTTTCTATCACTTGTATGCAGTGTTGTCGTAGCCATGTAGGTCCCAGGATGTTAGCAAGACAAGATGGGGGAGGGAATATGTTTTATTGGACCAATTTCTGTTGGTGACCAAGAAAGTTTTCCAGCTTATACAGAGCTCTTCTTCAGGCCAGTCCTGAAGAAGAATTCTGTGTCAGCTCGAAAGCTTGTCTCTCTCACCAACAGAAGTTGGTCCAATAAAACATATTCCCTCCCACACCTTGACTTTCGAACACTGACTTCCTCCCAGCTTCAGCATGTTGTTTGACATGGTCTAAGTGAGGTGAGACGTGCTGGCGAGTAATGAGACAACCCACCACACGCACACAAACTGTCCTTTAATAACTGAACCCAACCCCCATCAGGCTTGCTGTGAATAGTCAGGACAGTTGGGAGGTTCCTCTCCGTTGGCCAACCCCATTCTCTCGATCTCTAAAAATGGAGAGCTTGACATTATGCATAACAGGCTCATTCAAAACACATAACCCTGAGGGACGAGTTGGAGGAAAACGTAACAGTTCCCGATCGCCCTCTGAACTGACACACTGTGATACCCAGTACGCATTCCTGCACAGAGAATTATCTCAGCACAAGACTTCCTGTACTTAAGACCCCAATACTATGTGCAGTCCACATTTTCATTTCCCGTGGCTCGGTCTTTACCTAAAACCAGGGCCTTCCCAAGTGTCCCTAGTGTACTTAATTCATGGAAACATATGCCTGACCCTGTGCTTAGAACAATGCTGTTATCAGAATGTTTTCAGGCGGGAGTATCAGACATTACTCTGCAAAACTCCTTTGCCAGCTGCTGTTTGGGATTCCCTATGTGGATAATTCAGATGTCTGTGAGAGAGACAGACCTTGCTCATCCAGTGAAGCATTACAGAGTAAGGGAGCAGGTTTCCAAAGTGATACCTGTCATGGAGGGGGGAGGGCTTGGCAGCTGAAATATGAGGGAGAAGGATGCCCTTCCTTCTCTCTTCCCCTCTTCAGCCATCAATCCTCCCTTCCCATATGAAAATTCATTACCATAAAGGGAGGAATGGAAGAAAGCATTCTTTACCTCAAGCTCCTCCTTTGTTTTTGCCAACTTCCAGATCCTTAATTAAAATTTCTAGCCTGTTCTCCCAGGCCCAGTTCTGCTCTTTTTCTTTATCGCCATGTTCTCTGCATGGACTTGAGCCCAAACCCGTTGAAGTCAATGGCAGTCTTTCCACTGACTTCACGGGCTTTTGACCAGCCCCTATAATGTCCTCTCTCTCTTGAAAACTTTCTCTGCCTTTGTCTTCTCTCTATGTGTAAATGCCAAGGATGACGATTATTCTTTGTCCTCTGCTCACTCCGTACCTCTGAGTCTCCTCTCACTCCGTACCTCTCTAGGGCAGTGAGGAACAGCTATTTGGCATTCTCAAGCTCTGCTCCTGTCTCACCTCTTCTTAGCTCTGGTGGTTTTGAAACAGTGTGACCCAGTGACTAGGGGAGTAAACTTAAACTCATGAGTTCTGTTCCCAGCTCTGCTATATGACCTTTGGCAAGTCACTTCACTTTACCTCAGTTTCCCCATCGGTAAAATAGGAACAGATGAAAAGATCTATATAAGAGCTAAGTAGTAGTATTATTCTGTTCCTGCTGCCATCAGCTGAGAAGCGGCAGTAGTAAGAGAGTGCTCAGAAGTTGCCCGAATGGGCAGTTGGTGTGAGCTGGTGACCAGATGGCCATGGAGTCTATGAGAACCAGGACCTGTTTCCACAGAAGGGGTTGGGAGACTAGAACCGTTCCTCCCAACCAAGACATCTGGCCATCCTAGCCACAGGCTGTCCACTGCCCCAATGCACTTCTCTTGGCATTATTATTTTATATAACATATAAGAAGGCAGTATACCTCCACTCAAATCAAAGCAAGACCCCCTCTTCCCTGAAACTGTGCTTTTATTTTCTTGGATATATCAAGCTAGCATTGGTCCAGTTGAATACCCTCTAAGCGCATCAATGTGACCCTTGCCTGAGCCAGTGGTGCCGTGCCATGAAGGGTAAAACACAGAAAGGAACAAAGGGGGAACAGTGAGTAGTGTCTTTTTAATGTAACAGACCCTCCCCATCCCAGACGTCAAGCAAGTGGCCAGTTGTGTATTGAGCTGGTGGTTCAGCAGTGGCATTGATACAGGTGTGTATCTGACATACGTATGTTAAATGTATATGGGTCAGACAGACTTGTTTTGGAAGTGAGTCCCTCCCGATTGCTCTCAATAACATAAATGCTCCCGGCCCCTGCTACTTGTCCTCACTCATTTCCTGAGGTGGCAGAGTCAATCAGGGATGAAATATTCCTGTTCAGAGAAGTTCCCCCTGGACTGGTTGTTCCTGGAGTTAGTCTGTGCATTAGCGCTCTCAGTGAGCCGCCTCGCCTCACTTTGCACTGCGCAGAGCTGTTAACTTTGTGAGCTGTCAGACATCCAGCAAAAGGTGTCAAATAAAGTCTTCCAAACCCATGTCATGGTTGTGAAATGTGCTGTTGTGTCACAGTCTGTTTTGCTGGAGATGTCACATGAGATCCCTTTGCAACTCTTCTTCAGCTTTGGACTTGAAGATGATACCAAATGACTGAAAATAGTTAAGTTTTGCCACCTCCCTTTTCCAGATCATTTATGAATGTGATGCACAGGACAGGCCCCAGTACAGATCCTTGGGGGACCCCGGTATTTACCTCTCTCCATTGTGAAAACTATTTATTCCTACACCTTGCCTTCTATCTTTTAGAATCATAGAATCATAGAATATCAGGGTTGGAAGGGACCTCAGGAGGTCCCAGTTACTGATCCATGAGAGGACCTTCCCTCTTATCCAATGACAGTTTACTTTGCTTAAGAGCCTTTGGTGAGGGACCTTGTCAAAGGCTTTCTGAAAATCTAACACACTATATCCACTGGATCCTCCTTGTCCACATGTCTGTTGACCGCCCTCAAAGAATTCTAGTAGATTGGTGAGGCATGGTTTCCCTTTACAAAAACCATGTTGACTCTTCCTCAACAAATCATGTTCATCTATGTGTCTGTTCTTTGCTATAGTTTCAACCAATTTGCCAGGCACTGAAGTTAGGCTTACTGGCCTGTAATTGCCGGGATAGCCTCTGGAGCCTTTTTAAGAAATTGGTGTCACATTAGCTATCCTCCAGTCATCTGGTACAGACGCAGATTTAAATGATAGGTTACATACCACAGACAAGAGACAAGGTGGGTGCGGGAATATCTTATATTGGACCAACTTCTGTTGGTGAGAGAGACAAGCTTTTGAGCTACAACGGAGCTCTTCCTCAGGACTGGGCAAGAGGAGACATTTGTTATATTGCAGATGCTCTGATTACAGTTGCCAATTTTGGTTGGAGGTATTCCTGGAGGTTTCATCACATGACATCATCTTTCATTAAAGATTAATCTTTAATTCCTGGAGACTCCAGGGCAATCCTGGAGGGTTGGCAACCCTAGCTCTGATTGTAAGGAGTTCCATCTACCAAAGTTTCCGTGTGTGAATAATTTTGCCTACCTATGTTCTCCCATTGTTTTAAATGGATGACGTGATCCTCCCCATCTCCTGTCCCTTCTTCCAATCAACAGCAGGAAGAAGCACTTCTGCTTTCATTATGATCCAGGTCTGCCCCCTAATGGTAAAGCCAAAAAGTGAATGAGAAATCCTAACCCAGCTCAGAGGAGACAATTGGACGCAGGAGTCTACAGCTACCACTGATGAAATGTGACCTTCCAGCAGCCAACTGAAAACTCATATTAGAAAAATAGCCTACCTCTTACCATAGTGTGCAGTGCCGGGACATCATGAATTACTTTGCAGAATCATGACAACTAAGTGACCATGGAAGACCACAGGGCAAATGGTCTTGCACTGACCTGCCATCATTAGGAGCATACTCAGAGAATAAAGAATATTAAAAGAACATAATCAGAAACCTTTGCTCCAGCCACCTCTGAAGGCCTGAAGAGTGCAGATAGAGAAAGCGCTTTGGGATCCAGGCCCCACAGTCAGAGGGAGCCCGGATGCATCTGGAATCAGCCAGAACAGTAGGATCCATTTGACTGACCAACTGTTTTGGGCACAGAAAGCAGAAGATGGATCTTGGGTGCCCTCCCCCGTCCCCTCGCCCCTCGGTGTCAATTCACGTTGTGATCTAACCTTCAAGTATAAGGAGACGGCATGTGGGAGTCGTGACTCCAACTTCATGGAAGGGGACACAAAGTTATAATGAATATGCATTTAGAATAATCTTAATCTACTCAAGCACAGATCTGGATGCTCAAACAGCTAAAGCAAATGCTGCATTCAGAATGGTTTCCAAGGTACCAGCACTACTGCAGCACCAGTTTTGGAGGATGTCTGGGCCATTTAAAACTGTATTTTTTCAAGGAAGTTTAATTAGAAGCATTAAACTCTGGGCCAATTTTTTCAGATAGAAATTACAGGCTGACAGTGTTCTGATCCAGAGCAGGCAGGTGGGCAGTGTACAAACATAACAGCAAGTGGAAAGGAAACAGAAACAACAACAACACTGCGTCAGGTTTTGCCACCCATGCCCAGGTGTCACCAGAGTCCAATGATCTTGTGAGGTGTTGGGAACACGGCTGCTGCGTTGGGAGGACATGAGCTTGGAAGCAGAAAATGCCAGGGGGCTGGAAAAGGGTTACAACCAAAAAATATTGTAAAACAAGATATTCTGTTATATCCATTGTTTCCTTTTATTCTTCCACTGTAAATTATTTACCATAGTGGAAGGATAGTTTACCAATACATAGAAATAACCATTGGTTTTATCTAGGATTAAAGAAAATTAAATGTATAACTGAAAAGCCATATTATAACCGCAACAAGACCCTGAAGGATGTTAGGTTCTCTTGCACATAATTAATGCCCTGATGTGTCTTACTCTTATACTAAAGAGTCTGGGTAATTATGGATCTCCACAGCATTGATTCTAGGGAGTCTGGTGTTGGACCATGTTCCAGCAGTTTTCTTCTCCATTCATTGTTCAACCTTTACCCTTTTACTCACCTTGTGAATGGAGAATGACAACTGGCTTCCATAGGGAGATGTTGATGCGCATTGGTCCTGCTCCAGGGCAACACATGATGTGAACTGGCATTCAAGGAAAAATGATGTTCTAAATACTAGGAGGCCGATTGCTATGGGAATAACTCCAGCTATAGTCACTCCTGATCTCAGTGCTGGGGGTATCTCCAAAACTATAGCTAAGAGGCATGCACTTCCAGGGCAGTGAGAGAGAATAGTCAGGCGCACACCTTGTCTTCAGGTGCATTATTTCACTGTCTGCTTTTCTTTCTCTGCTCCCCCTTTCTTCCTGATTCAGTTGGTTTCCTCCTTTATTCTCTCCCTTTTTCACCTCAGTTTCAATCCCAGGACATTGTTCCTCTCCTGTGTTTCACCAGCTGTCTAGTAACCCTCTGTTCACTAATTGTCACAGCACCACCAAACATCTTGATTCCAGTCCCTTCATGGACTGAAGAGAGACCCTCACTCCAGTCCTCCTGTGCATTATTTTCAGGGGAGAGGACAAGACTCTCTCTCAAGTACCATTAAAAATAATCATCCCATACTGACCCACACTCATGTCCTTATGACCCATTCCCAACTGCCCCTTCCAATGGCCCAACCCCAACTGCCATGGAATCTTCTGGTCCCCACATTTCCATCTCTACATTGGCTAACGGGACAGCATCGGCTCCTGGCTACGAATTTATCTCAGTGGCATTACAAATATTCAGCTCCGCTCTCCCCATGCAGAGGCAACACGCTTTTGGTATAACTTGAGTGAAGGGGGGATTGGTATGTGGGGGTATATTTTGTTGCCATGCAGCTGACAGGAGGGTTGGAAAGACGGTCAGTATTTGTGTGGTGGGCTGTCCTTAGCCCAGTGGAGGCATGGGGGAGGTTATTGGTAGGATTTTGCCCCAGAATTGGCATGGGGTGGGGGATGACAGGATTTGGGGTGGGGATGGCTTTAGACAGTTGGAAGGAGGGCAGGAATGGCCAGGTTAAAGGGAGTTGCCAGGATTTGGATGCGGTTTTGTAGGGGAAAAGTGAATGTCAGGACTTTGCCCGTGTGTTTTGTGGGGTGAAGGGTGTCAGAATTGGTCAGGGCGGGGATTTGCCCCAATTTGGTGAGGGAACAATAATCAGGAGAGGAATAAAAGTGAGTTTGCCCTTGGATTTTTGAAGAAGTGGGAATGACAGAATGTGTACACGGGGTGGGGGGGGGGCAGGTATTCTGGGGTTGTCAGGATTTTGGTGGGAAATTGTCCCCTGACTGCAGGGGTCAGATTTTAGGAGCAAGTAGATTAGCAGGATTTTTCGAGGGCAGGGGGTGGGAATTGACCTCTGTTGTCTAGGGGGAGGTGTCAAGATTTGGGATTTTGCCCCTGGACTGCTGGGGAATGTCAGAATTTGGGGGGGGGGATTTTACCCTCTGCATTGTTGGTGAGTAGTTCTTATAATTTGAGTGGGGTCATGTCCCTGGATTCTCAGGGATGCTCTGCTCAGGATTTGAGTGTAGGTGTTGCCCCTGGATTGGAGTGAGTGAGTGAGAGAGAGAGGATTTGAGTTAGGGTTTGCCTGGTTTGTTAAAGAGGGTCAGGTTTGGGGATGGCTGCCTGGATAGGTTACCCAGGATTGTTGGGGAGGAAGAATCCAAGTTTTGGGGGTGGGGCGGGGTTTATGCGTGCATGAGGGTTTGGGCATGAGGTTACCTCAGATTATTGGAGGAGGTCAGGGTTTGGGGGGCTACCCTGATGTGCGTGTGATGTTTGGGAGGGTCAACCTGGATTATTGGCAAGGAGGTCCTGTTTTCGGGGGTCTATCCTATATGTGTGTGAGGTTTGGGTAAAGGAGGTTGTCCTGAATTATTGGAGAGGGGGTCCTGATTTGTGGGGCTGCCCAGATGTGTGGGGGATTGGGTGTGATGTTACCCCCAGATTACCGGAGAGGGGTTAATGATTTGGAGGAGTGCTGCCCAGATGTGGGGTGTGAGGTTACCCCCAGATTAATGGAGGGGGGTTAATGATTTGGGGGGTGCTGCCCAGATGTGGGGTGTAAGGTTATCCCCAGATTACTGGAGGGGGGTTAATGATTTGGGGGGTGCTGCCCAGATGTGGGGTGTGAAGTTATCCCCCAGATTACTGGAGGGGGGTTAATGATTTGGGGGGGTGCTGCCCAGATGTGGGGTGTGAAGTTATCCCCAGATTACTGGAGGGGGGTTAATGATTTGGGGGGGTGCTGCCCAGATGTGGGGTGTGAAGTTACCCCCAGATTACTGGAGAGGGGTTAATGATTTGGGGGGGTGCTGCCCAGATGTGGGGTGTGAAG